ATATTTCATTATATAGAAAAGATATCTTTCATCGACCCAGGCATAGGATGTGTCTAGACTCATCCAGACACATCCAGATTGTTCTTTTTCATACAATGGTTTAATATCAACTTTTGTACGTGTGTGTGTGTGTAATATGTATGTAACATTATGTGATAGTTTGAATATAGCTAGCATAAACTATGGAAGGTTAGACTATACTATTATACAGTTCAGGAGTGCGTGTCTGGACTTTCACAGTGGAAACTCATGGAATTTCAGGTCACTCCCTGTAGTAATCACACTATAAATTTGAGAGTTCATGTCGGCAAAATAGGATGGAATGCGGTTTTATGTTCCCTCCCCACCAGGATCTTGCCCAATTTGGCAACTGGATGCTAAATTAGGGTGGGATTAGTTGAGGGAAGTGGTACCCTGTGTGGCTGTGTGTCTAGTGGAATGTTACAGAAAGCATATTGGTTATCTGTTAATACAAGGCTGGGAAGAGGCAGACAGCGTATATCCCCAAAGGTATCAGAAACATCTTCCTGTCTTTCTGTGTTCCTTCATCCCTAACCATCCTTCTACTAGAGGAACCATACAAGTGGAATTACCCTACCTTTTATTCTTGTTTTCCACCATCAGAACAGGCAGGGTGGCAGTCACATGCAGGAGGAACCACCCCCCCCCCAAGACTAGGGGACAGAGAACTGAATTTTAGATCGACATATGCCTCTCACTAGCCTGAGACCATGATATATCACAGTTTCCTGGGACCTTGGTTTCTTCCCTATGCACTGAACAGAATAACACCAACCTCCCAGGTAGCTAGTGGGGAACTAGAGGAGTGTGGTTCTGAAAACATGACCTGGCTGGTGAAAGCTTGTCTCTGTCCTGCCGTGGATCTGACTTACCTGGACGTCTGTCCATCAGGGAGAACTCATGGGCAGAGCCACTGGCATACTCTCCTGCCTTGTCTCAGAAGTCCAGTGCTCTCTCACTACAGACTTGATGGCATAAAACCACAGAGATGAATTCCCTCACAGTTCTGCAGACCAGATGTAACCAGATATGTGTGCTTTCCCAAAGCCCTGGGAGGAGAGCCCTTTTCTGCCTCCTCAGGGGTGACTCTGAGCCCCCTGTGGCTTTGACTACATCCGGGTACTCTTTGTTTAGGTGGTACATTTCCTCGGTGCTATGATTTCTCTGCTTCTCAGACTCCCATCCTTGTTTCTTTGTCTCATTCTGTTCATAAACAGGAGAAAAGCTTCTCTCTGGGTGTTCAGCACTGTGGGAGTGGGCTCAGGGTGCTCATGTATTCTGGCTGAGGTCAGAACCTGGGCCCTCTCGTCAGCTGCTGTCAGTCATCACCCAGACCCGACTCCTCCCTGTCTGTCTTATTCTTGCTTTGATCCTGTCTATAGCTGGCTCACCCCACATCACTTGTATGCTTAGTTTGGCTCTCTGAGGTCATTTGGTTGATGCCCGCTGAACTCTGCTAGTGACTTTAGTGTGGCAAACCCTTTACCTATTTTTTGGCTGCTGCTTTTATCCCATCCTATCCTGGTTACTTCCAGAACCTTCAGGAGCCAACTTAAGCCATGAAGATCATTTTAGGCCACTCTACACTATACTTTTGTTCAAGGAAAGTGACCTCAATTATACCAAGTCTGTAGCTTCATGGTGACTGATTGTCTAAGGCAAGAACTATGCTTAAGAGCCGAGCCCTGGCTTTTAGTGACCAGGGGACAGCTTGCTCATGCTTATCAGGCAGGATCCTGGTCAGTTCTCACAGCCACCTCAGTTCTCAGCCACCTCGTGAGGCAGGCTTAGTGCCATCACTCATGGATGACTTCATGCGTGACACCATGTGGCATCCTGGGAGTCAGCTCTGTCAGGTCTGTTCCAGATAGTTCTTGGACTGTCTCACCACTCAGGTTCTGAGGAAGCAGAAGAAGAGTACTACCCAGTGAGAACTTTTGAACTGCCAAAGCCAAGGTCAGTAAGAACTCAATTGAGTGAAGAGCCAGGGTAATCTGTAGACATCTTGGCACTGCACAGATTAGCCCTTGGCTTGTTGAAAAGAGTATCTATCCTACAGAAAGCCATAGATTTGCTCAGTCTTTGAAAGACAGGAAGGATATGCTAGGATGGTGGTTCTCAACTGGTGGGTCACAACTCCTTTGGGGGTCACAGGGGTCATCTAAGACCATCAGAAAACACAGGCAATACAGTATGACTCGTGACAGTAGCAAAATTACAGTGATGAAAATGATTTTATGGTTGGGGCTCACCACAATATAAGGAACTGTGCTAAAGGGGTACAGTATTAAGACAGAATCTTCTAGGAGGATGTTCTAGGAGGATGCTTTGGAAGGGCAAAAACATCTGTCTACTGGAAAGAGAGCAGCAAGTGACAGAACATGAAAATGTTGAGAACTGGTTATGTCTGAATCTAGTACGGTGATGGGATACTAGCCATATAATGTCTCTGAGCCTCAATTTCCCTTTTATAAGGTGAGGTTAGTAGACAGGCATAAGATTCAGATTGTGTGTGGAATTACATACTCGATAGGTGCTAGCAGTCACAGAAGCAGCTGGAACTCCCTGATCTGCTCTGGAGGCCTTTTCAAGCTTCCCCCTTCAGCCAGCCAGTGCAGCCAGTCCCTTCTGAGAGCCTCTTCATCATTTACTGGCCTGCTGCTGCTGGGGTTAGGCTGATTTGTGTGGACCTGGGTGTTTTTCTCTTTGTCCTCAGTGCCTGGTATGGTTAGCTTGCTAGCTTGATGCAGTCTAGACTCACCTGGGAAGAAATTCTCTGTAAGACGTTGTCAGGATCAAGTTGACTTGTGGGCATGCATGTCCAAGGATGCCCTTGGTCATTCACTGATGTGGGATGAGCCTGCTCACTGTGGATGGCACTGTTGCAGTTTGGTCCCCAGACTGTATACTATTGAGGAACGTGATCTCAGTGGTAGATGTGTGAATCCATTCATTTTTCTCCACTCTGGGGCATGGCTGTCATGTGATTTGGTGCTTCACCATCCTGCTGTTTTGACTGTCTTATAACAATGGACCTGGAATTTTATCTAAAACAAACCCTTCCTCCCCTGAGTTGTTTATCATCCGGGTATTTCATCACAGAAACAGAAATGAAGAAGGAACTGACTCTGAGCCAGGTATACAGCTGGTGCTCAGATCATGTCTGTTGAGGCAAAAACATATCCGTCTCCTCAATGGAAAGAAGAGATAGTTTATTCTGAAGCAAATGGAAGTGGCCATGGTCCAGGAAAACACATTCAGGTTATCCCAGACACCATGGTCAAACATTTGTGATATTTTTATAGTAACTGAAAAAAAAAGTAATTTTAAAAGACATTGGCAGGGATGTCAGTAGACGGTCACAACTAAGTTTCTGCTGTAAGCTTATGATGTTATCTAATGACATTCTTAGCCTGCAGGTTGGTAGAAGCTAGGAGGTCTATAGCCCCATGTATGTTAGGTCAAATTCAGAGGTAAGCAAGGTGTGGCTACTAAGGAGAATGAAAGGGAAGAGGGGGTGTCATTTGAAGTCTGGCAATGCAACATTCTGGCTCTCCAAAATCACAGAAGGTCTGGTCAGTCACTCAGCCTTGCAGAATCTTTAACATGTGGTGTGCAACCTTTTTTCTTGGAACTTCAGTCCACATCTGCATAACAAAGGACTCACCAGTGCTGCCTGTCCCAGCAATGAGGGAAGCAGCTAATACACGAGTTGCAGTCTCAAAGAGGTGTGATGTCCTCAAGAGTCCTCCTCTTCAGCTTCCGGCTTGATGCCTACCCCTAGGCCAGAAGGCCTAGATTCCCTTTAGCTGCAGGGAAATTGGCACTGTGTCTCCCTGTAGTAACAGCAATGGCTGGAACAGTTTGCAGGATGTGCCCAGAAGACACATTGCTGGGGGTCTGCATCCCTTCCATCTCCTCCTAAGCAGTAACTAAGAAGATTCTGAGCCTCCAGAGCTAGTCCATTTGATAAGGGAACAGTCCGAGTGTCATCTAGGTCATAGGAAACTAAGTGAGCTTGTCTGTACACAGTGAAGTTGGGCATTAAGAACTTGTTAGCAAACAATCATTGTCATTTTCCAGCTTCCACACACACCAGGAGTGGGAAACATCACAGAAGGCGAGCTCTAGCCAGAGAGCGATTCCACTTTGTTGAGCTAAGCCTTCTAGAGACCTGCCTCGCCAGGCACTGTGCTAGTTCAGCTAATCTAAGAATGGCTATCTATGAACAGAAAATCTAAGAGTCTAGTAGTTGCGGAGTCCCACAAGCCTGGATATCTCAGCTGGTCTTCTGCGCATGCTGGAATCCTGAAGAAGTAGGATCTGATGCCAGGATAGGAATAGGCGTACCAGCAAGGAGAGGGCAAGCAGGCAAAGAGCAGAAGCTTCCTTCTCCTATGTCCTTATATAGACGTTCAGCTGAAGGGACAGCCCGTAAGGCATGGCTCATCAGAGGTATGTCTTCTTGCCTCCAGATCGAGGTTTGTATCTTCCAGCCTTAAGATCCGGATCAAAGGCTTATTATGTCTTCCTGCCTCAGGATCCAGTCAAAGGTGTGTGTTTCCACCTCTAAGATCTGGATTAGAAGTGGATCCACCCACTTCAAACCAAGCTGAAAATCTCTCACAGGCATGCCGTCTGTTTCTGGATTGTAGTTCATTCCAGATATAGTCAAAGTTGACAACCTGGAATAGCCATCACACCAGAAGTGTTTTTCCACAATGATCCCAAATCCAGTCAAGTTGCTAATACAGATTAGCCATCACAGTGCTCAGAGACAGGACTCCACCGTGTCTCTCCTGGCTATCACTTAAATTGTCTCTTATGACTGAGTCAGTATAGATTGAGAACCAGGCTGAATTATATGCGTTCTGTTTTTAGTCTTAATTGTACCCTGTGTCCACATGGGTCCAGTAGAGAAGTTAATTCTTTCCCAAGCTTCTCAGGTTCAGGTTACTAACCAGCCTCTGTCTCTATAGGTCCCACAACGGATGGCAGTGGCCGAGGGAACCCCAGAGGACAGTGGTGGTGGCTCCCCAGGTGTGTGGGGCTCCTGGGGCCCCTGGTCCGCCTGTTCACGCAGCTGCAGTGGTGGTGTGATGGAACAGACACGGCCCTGCCTGCCCAGCTCCTACCGCACTCGAGGAGGCTCCCGGCCCAATGGCCCTACACTATCCATCACTGGCCACGTTGTGTCAGCTGTACGGACCTCAGTACCACTGCATCGAAGCCAGGAGGACCAACGTGCCCTGACTGGCTCCAGTGCCAGCCGCCAAGGCCCCACAGTGGTGCGAGGCAGCCGGCACCCACAGGCTCGGGCCCGTGAACCCTCAGAGAGAAGGTATGTGCACATCATGGTCCCTGTGTCTGTCCCTGCCTGGACAATAGCAGAGCCACTGCCTTGATTCTGCAGAGTGGGAGGAATTCATGCCACCACCCCTTCTGTGCATGTGTGCATATTCATGTGTGAGGCCAACGGAGACCATAGGACAGCATCTGGAGAGATTCTTCAAGCCAAAACCTACTCTTGTTTTTGTTTTTGTTTTCTTCAAAAACTAGCCCCTTACTGATTGCGAACTCGTTGATTCGGCTAGGCTGACCAATCAGTACTCTCCAGGATTCCACTCACCTCCTCCTCCCTAACCACACATGGCTTTGCTCCCTCAACCCCCAAAATGTGTTCTTAGAGACGGAACTTAGGTCTGCCTGCTTGTGAGCAATTATTTTACTGACTGAGCCACTTTCCCAACCACGCATGGCCTTTTAGTCATTTTGTAGCCTTTACAGAGCCAAGGCTACTCCTACCCTGCTTTTTGATTATAAAATTATTTTTCAAAGTGAAGAAAATTCTGAGAAGCCATTACACTTCACACTTTAGGGAGACCCTTAAAGGAGTGGAAGGAGGAAGAGCTGGGTTGGGAAACCCAGTGTGTTGGCTAGGTACAAGCTAGAGTTAGCTGAAGGGAGGGAAGGGAATTGAGAAAATGTTGGCTTAAAATCGGGCTGTAGGCACTTCCTTAATGAGTGATTAATTTGGGAAAGGCTCAGCCCACTATGGGTGGTGCCATCCCTGGGCTGGTGGTCCTGGGTTCTATGAGAAAGCAGGCCATGAGGAGCAATCCAGTAAGCAGCATTCCTCCATGGCGTCTGCATCAGCTCCTGCCTCCAGGATCCTGCCCTGTGTGAGTTCCTGTCCTTCCTGCTTCTCATGATGAACTATTGTATGGAACTGAATGAAATAAACCCTTTCCTCCCCAAGTTGCTTTCGATTACAGTGTTTTAACACAGCAATAGCAACCCTAATTAAGGCATCTGGGTACCAAGATGCCACAGTTGTGCTGGTGGGGGTGGAAGGGTGGGGGAGGACTAGAAGTCACTAGCCACAGACCGTGTGGATTTAAAGAGAGGCCCTAAAATACAGAGACTTAACAATATGGTCTCCTAAACAGACCTGGATAATCACAATAGCAAGTGACATGCCAATAATGTGGGAAAATGAAGGAATACCGGCATTAGTGACCGCTGAGAGGGAAGAGAAAGGATCTTTTCCAGGAGTGAGCCCCCTGATAGATTATCCAATCCCAGGAGGTCAGCCCCAAACACATATGAACTATAGTAAATGAACTCAACAGGACACATAGTCACATACATACATACATACATACATACATACATACATACATACATACATACAAACAATAAAAAAGAATTGGACGATGAATGTCACAGAGAGTCAGGGGACACAGGACACAGGAGGAATTAGAGTGGAGACAGGAGTAGATGTAATGAAATATAATTCTCATGCATGAAATTCTCAAAAAAATTTCAAATAAAAAAGACAGGGAAGCATATTAAGAGCTGCTCTGTGTTGCCAGTCTTTGGGCAGGGTTCATGTGTAAAGTCTTAGGTGCACCCCAACTGTGGTAGTAGGATCCTGCAATAGTAAAAATTTTTTCTCGAGAGTTTCTAGGATGTTTTTCCAATAGACCTTGGGACTGTGGATGCCAATTTTCTGAAGCTCAGGGGTCAATGTATCCTGCATTTCCTCCTCACTACACTCTACTGCATAGTTCTCTTATCTGAAATGCATTGGCCAATGTGATATCTATCTATCTGTGTGTGTGTGTTTGTGTGTCATGTGTATGTGTGAGCCCATGTGTGCACAGAGGCCTGAGGATGACATCAGGTTTCTTGCTCAAACACTCTCAGCCTTATTTCTCTGAAGCAGAGTCTCTCACTGAGCCTGAAGCTAGGCTGGTGGCCAGCAAGCCCCAGCAGTCCTCTCATCTCTGCCCCTTACAAATGCTGGGGTCACGGACATACAGAGACGTCTCATATGGAAACTGTGTGTCTGACCTCAGATCCTTGTGCTTCCAGAGCAAATGCTGTTAACTCACTGAAACATCTCCCCAGCCTACCAGTGTGTTCTAGAACACAGAACTAACTGTCCATATCTTAGAGAGACACTTCAGGACATATTTCATATATGGTTAACATTCCCTGCATGGTGTGTGGCGTAGCCTCCTCCATGGTCAAACACAGGATTACTTATGCAAGAAACAGCGAATGCTTCTACCAAATAGGATGATAATAAAACTATAAATAGCCTAGACTAGTGATGATCAGGTTTCCGGCCGGCCTAGTGAGCATTGTCTCCAAAACACAAAAACCTGTTTTGCAAAACTCTTGGTTTTAAAACCACAGCGAGGTCATCCCCAGGGGTTTTTTGCAAGCTCACTGCACACCGGGTGCTGTTCCTGCTGCTTTCCGCTGATGCTGCTGAGACAGATGCTACTATCACCCTCCTCTTAGAGGCTTGAGACAAGGAGGGCTTTTCCCAAGGCTACAGAAGCAGTGGACAGAGACAGGATTCAACCTAGTGGTGGCTCTAAGGAGTTGATAAAGCAGATACACTCAGTGTCTGGGGACTGAGGAGTTTGAGTGATTGATAACCCAGAGTTGTAGAGCTTGTCTGTAAGGTGTGTGTCAGACTCCCAGTACAGTGCTCAGGTCTCTGTTGGGTACCAGCTTTGGGGCTAGAAAGCTGGGACTGGTGACTGGGTGACGAAAGGGCTCTCTCTGTGGTTGAGCTTCTGGGACATCTGCCTGGGGGTGCAGGCTCTTGTGGGCCCCAAGCCTAGGCTTCAGGCGTTCAGTTGAGCATTTTGATGGCAGGATACCTTTTTCCTCCTAACTTATTGACAGAAGGCTAGTTACTGCTTACTGTGAGGTTCCTACATGTTTTTATCATGCTCTTGTCATTTGACATTTTCAGATGAAACAATCCAAGTGTTAGCTGGGGGGCCAGTGCTGCTAATGGAGGCTGGGCGCTTCCTGGCGGATGCAGTCCACATTTGCTTATATTTATCAGTCATTAGGCACTTGCATAGTATATCTAACCCCAAGGAAAAATGTCAGCATGTTTCACGGAGAGCTGGCTGCTCTTCTCTGTTGTGGGTTTGAGATTGGAGGCGGAGGCTGTTGGTGTTTAGCTGCTTATAAAAACTGTTAGGTTGCTGCAGCCAAGCAACTGAGAACTTAATTGGAGCCATATAAAAAAATAGAACTATTCAGCCAAATATTTATGAACTATCCAGTGTGTCAGAAGGCTCTGGGACAGACATAAATGCAAATACAGCCTGGTCTGTGAGGCTGTTACTGGCAGGCTGCAGGCCGTTCTTTGCAAACCTACTGGGGTGTGTGTTTGTGTGTGTGTGTGTGGTATGCCCACATTCGTGCACATGTGTGGAAACCAGAGGTCAATGTTGGATGTTCTTCCTTGATTGCTTTCTACCTTGCTTTTCTGAGAAAGTTTCTTTCACTGCCCCTAGGACTGGCAAGATGCTGGCTACTGAGCCCTAGATATATCTTGACTCTGCCCAACTGCCTTCCCCCAGCACTGGAGTTACAGGTGCATGCTGCCTGTCTGGCTCTTTTAAATCTGGGGTTTGAGGGGCTCAAATGCAGCTCTCTGAGATTATGCAGTGATACCTTTACCCACTGAGCCATCTCTCCAGCCCAAGTTACTGTTTTTTAAGCATGAGAATCCTTTCTACAAAATTAGTGTAAAATAGCAGCTCAGTTTGTAACCTGGCTAGAAGCTCAACAGCTCTCCGGGGAGCCTTGAGGCGAGTGCTGTGATTTTCACCCTTGGAGACTAGACTCCCTTCTCTCCTCAACCCTCTGGAAATCCTGACATCATCACCGTATTCCTAACCTACCTCAGACTCTCTGGGGTTCATCCTCGGATAAGGAGAACATTCCAGTTCAGACCAGTTGGGAAACCACTGGTCTTTGGAACATTGTATTTGTTTGGAAAGGACTATGGGAATTAAACTCATCTTGTAGAACTTTCTGGGTTTGGTGAGAACGTATCACAATCTCAAGCAGTATGTATGTATGTATGTATGTATGTATGTATGTATGTATATGTACATACATAGATAGATAGAGAGGGGTTTAGCTTTTTAAAAAAGAACTACAAGTCCCCACACCCTCCTTCTATACTGGGGATTCTGGTTTGCAGTCAGTGGTATATGGATAGGCCCGAGAAGTTGAAAGCCACTGCTCTCAAGGGTTAGATAGGATCATACATGCAAATGTCATTGAGGGTGGGGCAGCGTGATGATACAGGAGCAGTCACAGTACTGGGTACCACGTTGGATGCTGGTTCATGCACAATGCATATTACACACCTCCAGGACTCTACAAGGCAGGCTCTGTTACTCACATCTTACACACAGGCACACAGACCCTCTGAAGGGAGCTTACTCAGAAGTACCCACATCAGAAGCAGCAGCCGGGTTTGACACACACAAGTCCAACACAGTCCGGTGTGTGATTTTTCACTGTTAGTGTTGTCAAAGGGAGGCTGCTGGTACCCAGCAGGTGTGATCAGGCTAGGCCGTCTGCACCACATCTTGAAAAGTGGATGGAATTCTGCAGTCAAAATGTATTCTAAGTCTCTCCCTTGGAGTATTCAGACTCTTTTCTTCAGGAAATCCCTTTTGGCATCTAGTCCTAGGTACCAGAGGGGTTAAGACAACCAAAAGGCATGGCCCATTTTCTGGGGGTCCTAACACTGTGATATGGAAGATGGGTAGTAAGCCCTCTAGATCCGGCCGTGCTGGACGATGGTGGAGGCTAGGGCTGAGAGCAGGAGCAGTCAGGAAGACTGCCCAGAGCGCGAGTTGAACCTACTCCTGCAATAGAAGGTATTTAATAGATCTTTCTGGGAATCTCTTTGCTCTTCTTGCTTCCATAGCAGGTCTTTTCAAACAATTTCATTCAAACACACGTGTACACAACAAGTTCCACCCTAAAGCCTCAAAGGGGCCACCCCTAATACAGCTGTCCTACAGACTTGGGAGATCGATATGTTTGTTTAAAGTCTCTGACCTTCAGTCGTCTCATTATCTCTTCTGACAGTGCCGATTATGATGGTTAATATTGATTATCAGCTTGATATAGGGTCTAGAATCACACAGGGCTGGAGATGGAGCTTAGTGATGAAGTACTTGACTTTATCACACAGAAGTGTGTGTGTGTGTGTGTGTGTGTGTGTGTATGTGTGTGTGTGTATGCACAAGTGCACATGTGTATGATTCAGAGTAAATCTTCACTATGAAATTCCTTCCACTTTTCAATACACGGCACAGGCTGCCTTCTCTCTAACCAGCTGTTCTGACCACACCTCATGGGTACCAACAGACTCCCTTTCAAAATACCCAGAGGTGAAGTCTTATACTGAGCTCTGTTAGACCTGTGAACAGACCTTGTGAACTTGGGTCTCTGTCTGTAAGGGGTTACCTAGATTATATTGCGTGAAATGGAAAAGCCCCCCCCCCCCAACTTCAGGCAGTGGTATTCCCTGGGCTGAATAAAAAAATAGGGAGCTTAGTATCAGCATCCTCCCCGTCCCTGCTTCCTGATTGTGCATGCCACATGACCTGCATTCGGATCCCCAGTGCCCATATATAAAAACCAGACATGACACACACACCTGTAACTCCAACTCTAGGAAGTGGAGACAGGAGGAACCTGGGAGCTCATTGGCCAGACAGTCCAGCCCTATGAACTTGTGAGCTTCGTGTTCAGTGATAGATCCTTTTCTCAGAAAGAGAGTGACTGAAGACTGACATTCTGACATCACCCTCTTGCCTCCACAGTGGTGAGCATTCCAGCTTACCTATGCATGCATATGTCATACACACACACACACACACACACACACACACACTCATGTACATGCACTTACACATTTGTGTGTGATATTAGTCAATACTTCATCACTAAGCTACATCTCCAGCCCTGTTGTATGTATTTTAAATGCAGTTTTTTAATTGGAGGGAAAAGGGATGGCGGAGGTTACATAATGACAAGGTTCCTTCCAGGACCCCTCCCCTCACCAGTCCATAGGTACTTATTTTCCAAAATTGTGGGGGAAGTCTGTTCCTGTGAAAGCGTCTTCAGTTCAGTGGGTGTGGGCTGCTGTACTTCTGCTTGCTCTGGCAGGGCTCATCCTCCTTCTTGCCTCAGCCACCCACTCCTTCCCCTTTGGCCACTGCCTTAGGAAGTAAGGAAGAACTGAGCTGAGTCCTTTATGGAATCCACTGACTGAGAGCAGAAGGTTGAACTCTCCTTGCCTATTGCCTCCCCCAGATGGTCACTGCCCTGACTGAATAGCTCAGGAATGTCATTCTTGGTGGAAGGCATTTATGACCAAGCTATAGGAAGAAGGAGCATAGTGTGGAAAGCCCCAGCCCTAGGGTCTTGGCTGGACCCAGTCTGTGCTACTCAGATTCCCTCCTGGACTAGATCTCATTTCCCGTGAGCCTTCAGGTTTCCAAAGCCTGACCCACTGAGCATCTCCTCATCACCCCATGTTAGTCATCTTTAAGTATATATAGCTCAGTGACATTAAGTGTGTTCTTGTTGGTGTACGGCCAATCACTACCTTTATCTTTGTAACGTGTTTCATCTTCCCAGACAGACCCGACCCATTACACGGTAATTCCTGCTTTCTCCTTACATCAGTTGGGTCCTATACAGGGTTACTTTGTGCTTCACCACTTTTGACTGTCTTACATAAATGGAGTCAAGACAGTATTTGTCATCTGTGATTGAATTCTTTCCTCCAGCCTAATGTCTGTAAGGTTTATGTGTGCCGTCAACATGGGTAGAGTAATACTCTGTTGCATGTATGTGCCATGTTTTGTTTATTCATTCATCCATCAGTGGGGTTGCTTCCAGGTTTTAATTGTTGTGACTAATGCTGCCATGAACACGAGCCACACAAAGGTCTCTTCGGGGCTTCGCTTTTGGTTCTTTGGGTGGATGCCCAGAAGCAAATTGGAATTAGACTGTATTTCTATTTTTCATTTTGAATTATATTTATGTATGATTACTGTGTGTCTGGATGCACAGTATCTGTCATGGTGCTTATGTGGAGGTCAAAGAACAACTCTTAGAAGTCAGTATCCTCCTTCCTTCTACTGTGCGGGTCCCAGGGATTGAACCCTGGTCTTCAGGCTTGGTGGCAAGTGCTTTAGCACACTGAGCCCTCTCAGCAACCCTCCAGTTTCAGTGTTCTGAAGAACTACCACACTGTCCTCCCCAGGGGCTATACCAGTTTATTTCACCACAGCAGTGTGTAAGGGTTCAACGTTCTCTGCGACCTGTTAGTCTGTGTCTTCCTGTGGAAGCCATTTTAACAGTTGCAGAGAGCGAGAGTGTGTCTCATGGTGATTGGATTTACATTTTTTTTTCTCGCCCTTGCTGGCTGTTTATGTATCTTCTTTAGAGACTGTCTCCTCATGTCCTTGGAGAACCTTTCCTTTTATAACATCAAAACCATCATGAATGATCCTCATTCTTAAAATCTTTAGTGCAGGTGGCATCCAGAGCCAATCCCCCATCCTCAGAATCAAGAACACACTTTTCCAATCTTTTTATTAGTTCTTTGTGAATCTCACATCACTTAATCCAACTTATCACCTCCTCTGCTTGTGCCTGCCCCCCCCTTGCAACATACCCCACAACAGAGAAAAAAAATATATCCCATTGTGGAAGCTGTAGTGTGTCACAGTGTGTCCCACAGAACACCCCTTTATCTGTACTTCTTTGCTTGTAAATATTCATTGCAATGACTTGTTGGTCTGGTTGTGAGGCCTCTGGTTTCTGCTAGTCTTGTCAATCCTGGGACCTCACTGGGACTCCTCTTGAATATCCTGCTGTTGCCCTGTGTCATGGGAGATCATTTGGTTTGGGATCTGTAGGACCGGCCTCTTCATGCATGTTAGCAGTTTGGGTAGATGTTGGGGTGGTCCAATTCAAAGCCCTGGGACTAGGCTTGAGAAGTATCTGAGCTAGTCAGGTGGTCAGCTCCCCAGGAACCCCCTAAACCAGGGCCAGCTCTACCCTGCTGCCCAGGTGAAGTGCAGGACCCGCTCTCCCGAGTGCTGCAGCTGGTGAGGGACAGGGTCAGTTCTCCTGCTCTCAAGATCCCAGGGCCAGCTCTCCTGCCTGCCATAGGTGGCAAGGGATGAGGGAGAGGAGGAGGGCATCTTTCCCTTGTCAGCATCACTGCACTACAAACAAGGAGCAGGACCAGATATCCCATGCTCATGCCTTCAGGCCTGGTTCTCCCATGCCCACACCACCAGGGTCAGCTCTACTGTGCTGGCCAGGCAAAGTGCAGGGCCTGCTCTCCTGAGTGCTGCAGCTGTTGAGGGGCAGGGTCAGCTTTTCTTCCCTCATGTCCCCAAGGGTCAGTTTTCCCACAATGCCCAGGCGAGGGGTGAGGCCAGTTCTGTATAGCCCTCAGACAGCAACATGTCCCCAGGTGGTAGCCTAGACCAGGAATGTTTGCCTGGCTTTTGATGGTAACAGGCCGCTGCAGAGCCATGGGCCCAGATGTGGCCTCCAGTAGCAGCACAGGTCAGGACCCTACCTAGGTCTCCAGTGGCATCACCAGATACTCACATCAGACTGTTCCTCACTATCGTCTAACCTCCAGTTCTGCCTCTCTCCATTGTGCCCACACCCTTCTGTTTCTCTACCACTTACTTGTTCCTCTTAGTGGCACCCAGGGTCTCTGAGTATCTGAGGTCATCTCAGAACTGTGACCCACTTGTGCATTATGGCACTGGGCAGGGGTCATCTCTGGCATGGTCCCTCAGGTCTGCATGGTGCCAAACTAGTGGTCATCTCAGGTTAGCTCCCTGTCCAGGGCCCAGGGTGCTGTCATCTTGGGTGGTCATCTCTGACTCACCTCCTCTGAGATCTATGGTCCCAGGCAGGGTTCTTCTAGTCTCCAGTTCCCTCCCTCCCTACTCTGGGAGCCCTTCTGGGCCTGCATGGCACTGGCTGGTGGTCATTTCAGGCTCTCTTTCTTTCAGGGAAGGTTGGGCTCCTAATCCTTCAGATGTCCATAGGTCAGAACTGTAGACATAGCCTCTCTCCTCTCTGACACCTACTGATGCACATGTGACACAGGAGCCACACTTGCAGTGTCTCTAGGGGCAGGCAGTGCATGTTTTTGATATTTACTAGTCAATTGATTTCTGTTTCCACAAAGACAGTGTACTGAGCGGCAGCCACGTCCCTTAGGACTTTGGGTAATTTTCAAGCGCTCTGGTTGCCCGGGGTCTGTTCTCAGGCCTTGCCTACCAGTGAGCTGCATTCCTTACACTTGCCTTGATTGGCCTGTTGGTATCGTTACACCTGTTAGCCAGTGGCAATCTGAGGAACAGGGTGCTTCGTCGCTTTTCTTCTTTCCAGCCAGACTGCTGGTCTCAGCTTTTACCTCCTGGAGATGTCTAGATAAGTGCTCAGACATGTAATACCATCTGTGAAAATCAGTCTGTCTGTCTTTGTGTCTGTCTGTCTGTCTGTCTCTCTCTGTTTCTGTCTGTCTGTCTCTCTCTGTCTCTCTCTGTCTCTCTCTGTCTCTCTGTCTCTCTGTCTCTGTCTCTGCCTCTCTCTCTCTCTCTCTCTTGTGTTTGTGTGTGTGTGTGTGTTTGTGTGTGTGTGTGTGTGTGTTCATGTTCCTTTGGATGTTTGGGGCATAAAGAGGCTGCGCTGCGGGTGATGGGTTTCCCAGAACTCCCCTGAGAAATGGAGCTCATTTCCTTTTGGAGATGCCTGCCCAGGTCAGGATGCCCTGCTCCAGGCCCTGCAGGCAGACCTGAATTGCAAGGATGATTTGTGGGCAGATATCAATTACTGGTATTTTATTTTTAACATATTATTTCATAGCTTCTTTTGTGTCCCGCTGCATTTAATTAGGATTGCAGGAATGGGCATGAGTAGGGGGTTATTTACTTGAGCAAGGGCAACTTACCTGTGGCTACACCACTGAGGAATGTGATTCCCCGCCCCCCACACACCCTGTCCCCAGTGACTATTAACTGTCTAGGTCTTTGGGGGAGGTGGGGCCTTATGAGTTCTTTCCCATCCACGATGACATTCTGACAGGCCCAGTCTTGTACATGTAGACTTTACTGCTGTGAGTTCATGAGTGTAGTAGTCACACCATACATATGGTTATGGGCAGTGTAAAAAAAAAAAGTTCTGTGTCACAGTAGAGGAGAACAGAGACTATAGCTGGCTTGAATGGACAGGGTTGAAGTCTCTGCCTAACTCGTACATTCCCTGGTCTGTGTCCTGCCCACATTGCCTAGATTTTCCATAGAGAGGATAAAAATCCAGTTTGTCATTTGGTGCTGTGATTGAGTTGAAAGTCTTGTACCAATGTTTAGTATAGTTGCGGGTACCTGATCCTGTGAGGTTTAGGGTGCAGGCAGGATTGACAATGACACTGAGACAGATTACTGGGGAACAATGAGTTTGTTAGAAAAGTTACTAATGCCTGGGACAGACAGAAGCAACAGCATTGTGGGTGTCTCTGGAGATGGGAGTGGTTCCTAGTGAAATCCAGCAGCCAGGCTCTCTGATTCCCAGATAGGAAGCAGGGGAGGGGGTGGGGAGCAGGGTATGTCTGGCAGCAATGCCTGCTTCCATGTTTGCTCTCGTCCCAGGTGAGAAGCGACCAGGTACCTGGGTGGTCACCATCTGTGAAAGGGAGGAGCCTGAAGCAGGAGCAGCAGCAGCTGTTTTCTGACATTAAGCTCAGACTGTTAGCAGTTCTTATAGTGGGGAATTTAAAAATCTCCAACCCAAATAGGACCGGTCAACGAAAACACAACTCAGTAATTATGAATATATTCTGTGAGCCTAGATTGGGCAGATACCCCTACACTACTCTGTTCCCCAGCTATGAGACCCTTATAACTTAAGGATTTTCCAGACCCTGCGTCTGTCCTTCTACCTCCTGCTCCCCAGTCGTCCTCTCCTTTGTCGTCTTCCTTCTCCATTGTCTTCCTCCAGTCGTCCTCCCCTCTGCTCTCTTCCACCAACCGTTATATCTCCACCTCCCCTTCCTCTGCCCCATCACTGGCTCCAGCCTTTATTTTACAAATTAAGATGGGTGGAAGGTTCGCTAGAATTCACCTGTGTAATGACTCACACCTCCTCTGCAGCCCTTCACAGGAAAGGGGAATTAATATCAAAATACAAGGCCGGGGCTATCCACAACAAGTTCTTAAGGGTGGCTACATGCCCTCAGTGGCCCAGCTTCATCGGCAGTGGTTTTGCATACCTCACTGTCATCTGTCTCCCTCACAGCTGTGTGGTAGGCCTGTGCTGTTGTCACTTACAGATAATGAACTCAAATGTTAGAGTCACCTTCTACTTCAAGATCATGGCAGAGAGAGGTCAGGTTGAAACCCAAGTCTGCATGTGATTCCCACCCCACATTTGCCCTTCAAGAAAGCCCTTGTTCAACGTTAAAGGTAGCACTCATTAACTAGACCAATGAAGCAATAATACCGTATCTGAGGTGAAAAGAACAATTATTTTCTAATGTCTACCCTGGGACTTTTCTCTAAGAACACAGACACTGCCTTTACCGGGCACTCCAAAGCCTCTGAGGGGAGCTCAGAGAAAGCCCTGGCTAGCCAGCATGAGAAAGTAGTTATGCCAAGCCTTTTCATGTTTCAATTTCACTTCTATTGCTGTGATCAAACACCCTATTAAAAGAAGCTGAAAGGAGAAGGGGAGTATTTGGCTTGTGATTCCAGGCAGTACACCATTATTTCAGGGAAGTCAAGGCGGAAACTGGAGGTAGACGGTCACATCATATCTATGAGTAGATATAGGAGACAGGCATCCCATGTTTACTGTTCAACTAGCTACCTTTCTCTTACACACTCCAGGACACAGAGATGGTTACACCCATGTCAAGACAGTCCCCTACAGACATACACACATGCTAACCTGATCTAAACAACATCGCTTCCTAAGAGGTGGTTGTAGGTTGTACCGAGCTAACTGTTAAGACTAACTGATTACGACATGTGAGTTTTTTTGCTTTCAGGTCTTTCTCTGCATCAACAGGCCATCAACAGAGATGATAGAGCCATTGCTGTTTCATGCAGTTTCCTTACCTTTTATTATATTCTTTTTATGTGTGTATTTGCTGGGCACCAGACGCCATGCTAGATTCATCAGCAATAGACGGTGAAAGGCACATGACTCCCAAGGACCTCCATGTCTTAAGAGGACACACCCCATGTTTGGTGATGTGTATGAGAGAGGGCTGTGGGGGCACACAGTGGGTCTAGTTCTTGGACAATCAAAAGTGACCATGAGAGAGAGTACTATGGAAAGAAGAGTTTGTGTTCTTATTAGGCGAGAAGAAATGGGAAAGAACCAAAGCAGACTTGACATATGTGGAGGATGCCAACGGCTTGGTGATACCAGAGGGACACATAACCCTTCTGGTTCTCAAGACGTTCATGATGGTGGAGAGAAGAGGAAGCAAAAGGACACATAGATGACAGAGGACCCAGGGAGGAGCAAGAGGGATGCTCAGACGGTGGGATGAGAGACAGGAAGACAGAGAACTGAGGAACCAGGACAGGCTTCTAGGAGGTCACTAGGGAGCCAAACTTTGAAGAAGAGATTTAGCACACCCTGGACAAAGAGGACACTTCCCAAAGAGTAAACCAGAAAGGTATGAACCCAGGGGCGTGAGTGAGCATGTCACACTCCAAGGTAGGGAAGGGCGTGTAGGGACTAGAGCTCCAGCTGTAAATGAGATCCTGGCTAACCCGGGGAAGTCCACAGCCTCCTTTTCAGAGGGGGGAACTTTCCATCCTGTGGGGACTGAACTAGAAATCCTTTGAAAAAGACAAACCCCTTAAATCCAGAAGGCCAACTGTTTCCCACTTTAAAACAGGCAGCAGATCCATGTTTGCATTTCATTTAAATTTCTCCTTAGCATCCTTGGGATCACAGTGGCTAGCTCCTCCCCCTTGGGATCACAGTGGTTAGCTCCTTCTCCCGCCATCTCATACCCTATTTCAGGAAAGCTGTACTTCCTGGCCTAGAAGCCCAGGCTTGGTCCCTTAGTCCTGTAATACATGCAGTTATTTCTGATGATGGCATGCCACTCACCACAACCTTCATTGCTTAAAAATAATGAAAATGGTGAATACATAAAATGAAAAAGAGCTGTTTAAGCCAGAAGTTCAAGATGGAAGTGTTGTCAAGACCATGTTCCCTCTACAGCTCCAAGGAGAATTTTTCCTTCCCCTTCTATGTTCCATAGGCCGCTGTAGCCCTCAGTTCAACCCTCTGTCCATAGGCCTCCCCCCTTTCATTACCCATCAGCTGGCTAGGGACCTTCTGCTCCACCGAGATAAAAAGCATGGCCAGGCAAGGAGAAGCTCATCTGGTGCTGTTCTCTGGGAGACTGTGTCTCCTTTGGAGTTAGGCAGCAGTGAGCTATGTCAGTGGGTCAAGGGGACAGTATCAGGTAATATACATTGTATTAAAAAATCATCATGTTATGTTTGAGCTCACCGAGAAGCCGGTTGTGGGGTTACCAGTCCACCAACTTCAGACCCCTTCACTGGAGATGAGCTGCCCCTTCCCCCAAGCATGTGACAGGGAAGAGAGAACAACAAAAGACATGTGCTGTGAGACTGTATCCTAGAAATGACAGGGAAGCTTCATCCATGATACCTCAACAATGTGGCTGCTTACACGAGACCTGAACAAGGCCAACACTAATTGAGATCCTAACATGGAAGGGGAAAAAATCTTATGGGGCTCTAACCCTAGACAAGTGCAGTAGAATTCGTTTTCCCCAGAGATTAGGCTTCCCCTAGTTGGTTATTAAATACTAATTGATCGTATACATTTAACAATATTAAATGAACTTAGTAGGTTGTATTTACTTATTTATGCATGTATATATGTGTCTCTCTGTGTGTGTGTATGTCTGTGTCTGTGTATGTGTGTGTACACACAAAGGAAAAGCTGTGGATTTGAAATGGGTAAGGTTGGGGGCTCGTGGAAGCCATTGAAAGGAGGAAATGATGTGCTTATATTTTAACTTAAAGAATTAGATTTGCTTTTTAAAAAATAGACTTTGTACTGATGTACATATGAACTCACAGA